CAAAAACGAGCATATGTCTATAGGACTTTTTTTCTTAGTTTTTTACTCCTCTACACGCTCCCGAAGTTTTGCGATTTAATTTGGAAACACCCTGTATACGTTTATTTATTTGTGCAAATAAATACTTCACAATATAAATTACGATACTCACACTCTTCCTGTTGCGATAAAAACCGAAGAGCAGATATCTCGGCAAAAGTGCATCCTCCAATAAAAAATACTAGAATTAATTTCGGTGGTTCCGAACTAGAATCTTCGCTAGTAATAGAATTTCCTGAAATAAATTTTTTTTTAGGAATAAATACATTAAAAATAAGCTACGAATAAAAGATTTAGACTTGACTTACGTCTCGTTGACGAAAGTAAATTATATGGGACGCTGCTTATGGTAGGACCTGGTAATAATCCCATCATGTCGTTCAATCCTTGCCATCCGTTTGGTTGTACTAATTGCTCCGCCAATCTCACGCTCAGTGGTGCGTATATGGAATGTACGTAACTAATATCTTTCGGTGTTACTTCACTCTCGTCTTCGACGGTGAGTCTTAATGCTTTCCTTAATACTGCGTATTGTCGTACTGATTGCTGCTGTTTTAATAAGCCAGCCTTCTCCAAGTTTAATATAGTTGGCAAATGTTGGTATCCATAAGTGTGAATTATTTCTCTTTTATAGTAATCTAATAGCTTTGGTTTTAAACCAGAGTTTGTTAACGATTGTATGCAAAGTAGACGTAAAATTTTCAATAAAGGTTGTTGTTGCGCTATCATATCTTCAATATATGCATTCGGTTTGTCTGTATCGATACAGTTTAATAATTCTTGTTCGACTTGCAATGATTCTAGAAAGTTGCTCGAGTCGGTAACTTCTTTTATCATCTCAGCGATTGTGGTATCTAAATAAAGAGAAATTACAACAAATTATTAAAACAAAAAAAATCAGAAAACATTAAATTCAAACACATCTTTTTATTACTTACGCCTTGCTAAAGATTGTTTTGTTGCTAGCATGTGTGGTAATCGTGCAACAAACTGCTTAATTTCTTGCACACTCTTATCTCCATATCTTTCGTCAAATTGAGATGAAATCACTTTAGCTTTCTTACTAAGAACTGGTCCAACGCCGTTAAAATTTTTATCTCTGTAAAAATATAATATGAAGAATTGTTAGAGAAACTTATGTTCAATTACATATACCTAATCTCAGCAAAAAGTTTTTCTCCTGAATTTAATATAATTTGTTTCTTTTCATTCAGAGACATTGCTGTGGGAGAGTCATCAGAGTCGTGAAATTTTCTTGCAGGTAATTGCACAGTATCTATAATGAAAGACATCCATGTTATTCCATGTACAAATTAAAGGATGTTCAAAAATCATAATTGTGAAATATAGAAAATGTACAAAACCGATACTTCACTGTATTTTATTCCATATATTTCATCAATTAAGCCTTCATAAGTCAATTGTGTGACTAAAGGTGAGAGTAAATCTACAGACCGATCCAACAATAATAAATGTTCAATGGCTACAGACGATGCAGGATGTGATTTATTATCTTCCTCTTCTCTATTTAGTCTCTCCAGCAATTCCCAAACTTTACTTGCAACTGGTCCTCTTCCTGTGACTTTTGAGATTTTACCATATAACTTTTGTAAGCCTTGTATAGCTTGTGCAACTTGATAGAGACAAGTGGGATCATTTTCCAAATGAAATTCCTTAAAGGATCCGCTGAGTTCCATTGAGAGCAGATCATTATCAAACGGAAAGAGATCACACTTAAATTCTTCAATCAGTGTAAAGCTGCCGAAAACACCGCGATTCTGGAGCTTTTTTTGACAAAGTAGACTCTTGCGTGGTACAAAGAACAAGTGAAATTCTTTACGTGGTCTCTTACCCTCTTCTCTGCAAACATGAACAAATATATATTAATTTTTAATATATGTAAATTTAATTCAAATTATAATAAAATCTAGACATAACCCGTTATCATTATATAGTACCACTACCAATTTCAACCATCTGTCTGCGAACATATTTTTACTCCTTCCAACTACAAGCTGAATCTTTTTCGTCCAATCTAAATTTTTACTGCTCTAGGCTTTCAAGAAATGTAGAAAAATTCAGGATTGCTTTTCAACATCTCTATTATATTACCAAATAATTTTTTAACTTAATGTTAAAATGTTTCTTGATAAAAATTGAAAAAGAAGATAGAAAGAGTGAAATTTTGCTCGTAAAAAGATCCAGATAGCAGATGAAGGATTCTTTGTTAATATCACCAAATAGATATATTGTAGTCTATCTGATAATGTTTGCTATACACCAACCCATGAACATTCTCAGCAATCAGATCCATAAGCTCCAATTGTGGCCTCGAGATAAATATGACATTAGCAATGTTAGGTGGTATTGTCAAAGTCCCACCATACAGTGGATACATTTTCACAACACCGTACTCTTCTAGTAAATTATACTTGGCGACCAGACCAATTGGTCCGGCCAACGACTGGTCCCATATAATAGCCTGCACAAAAAAAAGGAAAAATATATCATAAAAACGAATTTATAATTTGTTTTGATATCTCCAGGGAAGGTTAAGTAAGACTGAAGAGTACCTTTGGGCCATCACATTTTTCCAACAGACAAAGTAATCGGTTCCTCGCCTGTTCCTGAATAAGTCCGACGTTCAATCTACCTCCTGTCAGATACGACATGATTGCTTCGCAAAATTTTACGTATTGGCTGCACGTAACATATCCGAAATCACTTTGACAGTTGCAGACGACGGAGTTTCGATAAAATCAGAAGTCTTGAGACTAGCGCCCATGATGGAATAATCCTTTCACCATGCTAGCGCCTCTATGTTTATAAAACGTAGACATATGGTCTGTTTTCTGTTCCTGCACTAGACTGCACTCAAGAAGACTAGAACTAAAGCCGGAATCAGACTACGCATTGAATATTGAGATTGAAGATTGAAAGATTGAAATTTGACCAATCAAAACAATAGGAGCTAAAATTCCTTTGTCCTCACTGGTCAAATTTTAATTTTCAATCTTCAATCTCGATCTTCAATGCGTAGTCTGATTCCGGCCTAAGGAGGATCAACTCGCGTGGTGGGGGTGAGTCAAAAAACATCCGCGGCTATTCACACGATGTGCAGCGGCACTGCGCATTGTGTGAAAGTTCGATATAAGAGCGACAAAGTGACGATTATAGAACGACAGAGCGACGACTATATAGAGCGACAGAGAGGACTAATGAAGCGCAAGAGTGGGGGAAGTTATCCGTCGCCACTTTTTGCCTCACCCCCACTACCGCTATTGGCACGAGTTGATCCTCCTTAGTTCTAGTCTTCTTGACTGCACTAGAACTCTCTTTCTCGCTTTCGTTAACTATCAAACATACATCTATCTCACTTTAAGTTCCAAAAGTGTACACTAGTTCAGCCACAGAAAACAGACCTATGAACTACGTAGCCAAGTCCACAAATATTTCAGGGGACTTATTACGGTTTCTTGTCACGAAGTGAAAATTACAAAAGGGATTGAATTTACTAGAATATTTACAACTTCATTGGTTAACATCTAGTGAATTTGATCATTTTTGTAATTTTCACTTTGTCAGAAAAACCGTAATGAGCTCCCTGATTGGTAAACATCAGATTTCAAACAACACGAACAAACCTTACATCTCGACCGTTTTAAGTGCAAAATCTTTTAGACATTCAAACAACTATGAATAGACCTAAAATAAAACCGGCTCTGAGTGCAAAAAGTACCCGCAACAAGAATACACTAAGGGCGCGTTCACA